CACGCACGCACGCACGCACGCACGCACGCACGCACGCACGCACGCACGCACGCACGCACGCACGCACGCACGCACGCACGCACGCACGCACGCACGCACGCACGCACACACACACACAGACACACACATGTATAAGCATGACTACTGTGCAAGCATATTTTTGATTTTTAGAAGTGTTGTTAGTCAAGAAATACACTTGTATACTTCTATGACCTTATCTTATGAGTATTTTAGTCTAGTGAAATTTTAGCTGTAAACTGGATTATCCCCGTGATTTGTGAAAAGAGCATTATTTTCACTGTGAAATGTGAAAAGCAGTTTATTTTCACTGTGAACAGTACCCCCCCCCCTCTTAAAATAAAGCAAAGTTTTTGTTCCATCACAGTTGGGCAATTTTGCCTCCACTTATATATGCCACATGAATTTGCCACTGTTTATTATTAGCACAACTCAATCAATTTCTTGCTTCGTCTTGAAAATTACATGAGGACTCTATACTGCATACAAATTCGCTATCATATTTGAATCGCTATCATATTTCAAATTCGATATCATATATGAATACAACTCGCGATGAAACTCCTGGTCAAAAAACAAAACTACTAGGGTTGAATTTTTGTTTTTAAAATTATTTTAAAACTTGAAACCTTTACCTCTTAGTGTTATTAACAATGACTACTCATACAATAAAAGCACCCTGTAAATTCACTGATTTATCCAAACCCCATCTAGAATGTTTGCATACACTGAATGAACAATTGTTCAAACCGCAAGACACAACAATATGATGAAACCATCCTGTTGTGATTGAAAGCACATTGAAAGAACAAGGAGTAAATGACTCAAACGGAAGAAATCACACAGCCAGCCAGTTATTATTAAATATTCACAGATTTCTCATTAATGGAAATCATTAATGGAATCATGGACATAAACACTAATTAAACTAGATATCAGTGAATATTCATGGGAAACATAAAACGAAATATAAGAGACGTTTTAAGATATGCAGGGGTGTTCATAGTTGTTAGACATGTGACTACATTACGTGAGCTCAAGTCCAAGTAAATATTTTCTAACATTAAGGTCACTAGAACGACTTTTCTCTGTCAACAGATAATATATAAACAATATAAATAATAGAAACAACAGGTTCTATACTAAAAATCTATACTGCTTTCAATGCTTAAAAGTCGTTTTCCGTGGGAAAGGTACAGCGTATAATGCAACCGCTTATATCAATCCTGAGGTTATTGTTGACGTGTATCTTTAATTTTGAAATTTAGACTGTAGGCTCCCTCATTTTCCTGCTCCTTGCTTCCCATTTGATTCCCTCTACACGGGGGAACCACACTAATGAGGACCAATATAAGATAGATTTTAACCCTACACATCACAGATAGTGAAAGCACGATTGTGTGTAACCAGTAGACCTTTAAGAGCACAATCAGTTCACATCGCATTTTTTACGCTGCCCATTGAACAGAATTGCTCAGGGCATTTTTATTCTTATGGCCCTGCATAAAGTCCATACATTATGAGAAAGTGATGGGTCTATATGACAGGACCTAATGAGCCACGTGTGAGAATCACACGGTCTCGCACTTCATATCTGTCATCACACTGTTTCCGCCAGTCTCAGCCGAGCAGTAGCCACAGCAGCAGTAGCAACAGCAACGGTAACAGTAGCGGCAGCAGCAGCAGCAGCAGCAGCGGTAACAGTAGCAGCAGCAGCAGCAATAGCAGCAGCAGCAGCAGCAGCAGCAGCAGCAGCAATAGCAGCAGCAGCAGCAGCAGCAGCAGCAGTAGGCAACAGCAACGGTAATCATAGCAGCACAGCAGCAGCAGCCGCGTAACAGTAGCGGCGAGCAAGCTCAGCAGCAGCAGTCAGCAGCCAGCAGCAGCGGTAACAGTAGCGGCAGCCCAGCAGCAGCAGCCAGCGGGTAACAGTTAGCAGAGCAGCCAAGCAATTAGCAGCAGGCAGCCAGTAACAACAACAACACCAACGCTAACATTAGCCAGCAGCAACAGCAGCAGCAGCAGCAACAGCAACAGTAACATTAGCAGCAGCAGCAACAACAACAACAACAGCAATGGTAACATTAGCAGGCAGCAGCAGCAGCAAAGAGCAGCAACGATCACACAACTAGACAGAGGGCACTCGACGGAAAGTGCATGACCTCCGCGAGCGTGTAACATGTATGGTATACACAGCTGGCTGCTGCTGGCTGCTGCTGACTGAATGGCCCCCTAGGCGAGCTGGCCTGCTGACTGGAGCCCATAAGATGAGTGCTGCTGACGCGACGCCCCTAAGGCGCAAGCTGCTGCTGAATCGCATCGTGCGAACCACTTAGTGGCTACACACACACAGCAAGCCAGCTGCCTCCTGGAATCGATTCGCGCGAAAACCACTAGATGGCTACACACACACGGCGAGCCGAGTTGCATGACCTCGTTGCGCGGAGGTAATAACATTAGCAGCAGGAGCAGCAGAAACAGCAACATTCGCAGCAGTAGCAGCAGTAGCAGTAGCAGCACCAACAGCAGCAGCAGCAGCAGGGAGCTAGCAAGCCGCAGTAGCGAGCAACGACGACAGGGAGCATTCGCAGCATTAAGGCTCAACTGCGGTTCTAAAAACAGCAGTAGCTAATACGTACGCACACACCCCACACACACGCACACACACACACACACGCACACACACACACACGCACACCACACACACACATGCACACACACACACCATAACGGCACACACACACACACGCCACACACGCACACAGCACACACAGCTACACACACACACGCACGCACGCCCACAACTGCACACACACACACACACACACACATGCACGCACACACACGCACACGCACACACACGCACACACACGCACACACACACACACACGCACACACCGGTATCGACCCTGGAGGAGGGAATTATGCCCGATACTGCAGATGCGCCCGTTCCTCGGTGAACAATTTTAATAGTGTAGTGGAAGAGGTTTAACACCCCGGCACCACGCCTACCTTGCGCAGGTGGCTGGACTAGAGTCCCTATATACAGAGAGTTGCGCCAACTCAGGATTTGACTCCATGTTGTTTCCAAATGTATCCACACCGCTGCCGCTTAAGTACAGCGCTGTATGGATACGCTGTACAATGGTCCGTAGTAATTAATTAGACTAATCGTGCTTCAAAAAATTTACAGAGATTATAGCTAAGACATGTGTCTATGTGTATCTAGATTTCTAGAAATGTAACTCAAATCGTTCGCACGATATGATAGTTTAATTGTACACTTTCTTACCGCCATAGCCGTGCGTATCTATTTGGAAACAACATGTCGTCCAGCGACCACGTGACCGATAGTTTTTCGACTCGTCATGGCGCAACTCTCTGTATATAGGGACTCTAGGCTGGACCACGCAAGGCAATCACAACACCAGTGTGGGAAACGCAGACTCGATGAATGCGAGAATGCCTCCGGGCCCAAATTAAAAAACAATATTCGTTATTCATGCGTACATCACAGAAAAAGGCGGCGATGGCAACTCGCCAGCAAACCGAGCGCCGCCGCTCGCGTCGCCACGCTGGATTCGCCGAACGCACGTCTATGACGTCGACCGGCGCCACCTGCCGCAATGCATGGCGACGGACGCTCTAACTCGCAAAGTTACGTCGGAGGCGCGTGTGCGCAGGGTGCGAAATTAACCGGAGCACGAAGCATGTCCGGAGTCAAATACTCCCTGATATAATGTCGGACTCCCTGATTTGACATATGCAGGAGTCCGTGTGACTCCCTGAAAATTCTGGTAATATTTACTAACTAGTTCGCTCAAAAGCACGGCCTCGCAGAATGTTTCAGTATTAAAATGCCCAAAGAAAATTTGGCAGACGTACAACCTCATGAACCTTCAAAATAAGCACATGCGTTATTGTTAATATCTTTAGTTTGGAACTTCAGACTGCGGACTCCCTCATTTTGCTGCGGACTCTCTTGCTCACAAGTTAATTTCTACCCCTGAGTGTGCGTTCATTAATACGAACACGCGATCGGCCGTAACCTTCTAATCAGCGCGTTCCTTCTCAAAGCGCAGCTGTCAAAATCGTCAAACGCGCGTGTACGCGTCATCGGCAGACGTACACATCGCGCGCGCGCACACACACACACACACACAAGCGCAGCTGTCAAAATCGTCAAACGCGCGTGTACGCGTCATCGGCAGACGTACACATCGCGCGCGCGCAAACAGATGACACATCAAAGCAAGGACGGCATCCTGTAGACTGCTATCTCCTTAATTTCGGACAGAGGCTTACGGGAAATGTTTAATATCACGTCAACAAGTCACGACAAAGATGTCTGTAGCTACACTTCATTACCGGCACAAAGAGAAAAAGCAAACGCGATCTTGCTCGAGGCAGCACGATACTGCAAATGAAATCAAATATGACTTAATCTAGGGAGAAAAGACCCTCGTCTTCTGTTACAGCTTCAAAATATGTTAAAAACACGCGAATCAATAACTCCCTTCTTCAGCTCTGTCTGGCTGCAGGATGTACTGCAACAATGACACTTCAACTACTTGCAAAGAAATTGCATGATTTTTTCACCCATAATTTCATTTCAAGCTACATCTATGTTATTGCCCCTTTTCACCATTACAGACATAATATGTTAAACACAGAAGAGTAAAACGATCTTTTAATTTTTTATAAGCTATGCTTCTTTTTGCTAATAAGCCTAATCAAATTGCGAAGATGTGTTCTGCAAATTTAATTAAATGCCATGCTCGTTTTTAAATTAATAAATAGAACAAACCCGCATTATCAATCCCAAGATTACGAAGATCTATTACTGTCCTGTTATCACTCAAATATTACTATAATTTAATTTATGCATCACCGACACCAACCGTCTATCGCAGTTATAAGGTAAGACAGCTATGAAAACATGATAACTGCAAGGATCGGATTCACTCATATATTGTTACTGGTGTCTGTCCTACCTGTTTGTGACTCATGCTTCTCAAGCTTTTCCTTGTGATCCCATCCGAGAGCAGACTTATCCACTCTGTCAGATTGCACGCCGTATTTACCGCCAAATCCTTTAGCGTAATCTGAAACGTTCGACGAATGAAATCTTCGTTCGGCTGTACGAGTTTAATATAATGATGCCAACCCATGCAGCAGACTTAGAAGAGCGCAAACAAGGTTACGATTAACGTTCGGAAATCTACGAAGCGTTCAGTCGCCGCGCATGAAGCGACAATTGTCGGGGGAAGATTGCAGCATAACTCCACTTTAAGTTGTCGTGCGACAGACTCTGTAGCTAAACCAATTGAAATTCGAAGCCATGCAGTGCTAGCAATGGTCGGCCTCTCCCACACACCATGAGAATTGCGGCGAGGTCTGTATTCTGTGAATACAATAACAGCAGCGCTGAAGCACCCGAGGGGACCACCCGAATCGAATATATGTGTTCATCTTCATCCTAGGGTTAAATGCTATATAGAGTTTAGAGTTGTAAGATTTTAGCTAAACAGAAATATAAATGGGGCAATCCACTGCTCATATTCTACTGGTAAATTGGGCAGACTGCCAGGAATGTGAGTGCTGCAGTGCGAGACAGTGACACCATCTGGTGCGAACACCTTTGGGTGTGAGCAGGTGTCTTGATAAAATAGTAGTATGGAGTGTAAATTTCAATGATCCAGATACAACTGAGGAATTATAATTTTAATAAACAGTGCATTTCTTCCATAAAACAAGCTATATTTTTTTATTTAAAGGTTTTTTCATTCTAAAACTCCTCGTATAAATTGCTTATATCATGTTACCAACAATACTTATGCATTTAACGAATAACTATATAGTATTTTTTTCACTAGCTATTTCCATTTTGGGTAGCCATTGTTATTGTTTTTTTTTGCTGCATTACATGAGTGTTCAAGTGTAAAATTATCCGACAATTTTTTAACAGGCTTATTGAGAACATTATACAAGATGTACAAGTGAGGTGTTCCTGCATTAACACAATCCAAACAAGATGAAACTTCGAGTAAACTTTCACTCGCATTTTCACATGCTACTTACTCACCCACACAGGCTATATATAGACAGTTTACACTTTTCGTATAACAGCAGAAAGCATGATAGCTGTAAGAGGTCACCCATATGTTGTTACTCGTGTATGTCCTACCTGTTTGTGACTCATGCTTCCCAAGCTTTTCCTTGTGATCCCACCCGAGAGCCGACTTATCCACTCTGTCAGATTGCACGCCGTATTTGCCGCCAAATCCTTTAGCGTGATCTGAATACAGACAAATTCAAAGACGATGCCTGAGATAACGCGATAAAATTTGTGTCATGGAATTTTATTGTTACAAATGTTTAGACTGCTATTTTAACATTTAGCTGATGCTTGCTCATGTTTTCTCAATGAAGTAGCAGATAATTAAATTTGATTAATACAATAATATTTTGACAATAATAACAATAGCAATTATAATTAATAGTAGTCCAGAAGTAAAATATTCACAGGAGAAGTTTATGTAAGAGTGCAGCCCACTATATATAAAATGAATCGTATTTAATTTAATTCATCACGGTTTGCTTCGGATTGCCCTATGTCACTTTAAAATGGTAAACAGTTCTATGCATTATAATGCACATGACACCAGTCTCTGCATCTGCCCACAAATACAAAATGTAGTTCCAGAAAAAAAATCAATTTAAGTTAAGAATCGCAGCTTACTAGTCTCATCATTACAATGTATGATAACACATGTATATCCGATTTACTGCAAAAATTCATATCACTTTTCATATAGTTTTACATTTCATAAATTTTTGACCCATGACTGTGTGATGTAGATTAAAGTACAAAACTGCAAAACGCGAAGCAGTTTGTGTTAAATTTTAAATAATCTAGGTACTACTCATCCACCATTATTAAGGTGTTATCAAGTGCTACCTGCTATATTTAGGAAGCAATGTAGAGTTACAAAACAACTGTATTACTAAACAAGTGCCGCAGACCGACAGCGCTCAACTGACGTGTACTGTAGCCGGGTATTCTTCTGATAAACTCACTGGCAACCGAATCAAGTGCGCCCTCCCGCCACCACGTTCGCGCTCAGAGAATATATCTAGGATACTACTAATACAGATCTAAAATCTATGATAGCTAGGCTTTGCTATACCGGTAGTACAGGCACTTAATAACATCCCTGACACACTTCTTACCACAATATGTTTACGCATTAAAACGAGTGTAAAATTAAATTAATCCGAGTTGTAATCACAGAGAAATATCCATTTATACATCGTCTACTATGTCAGAAACGAAACGGAGAAATCGGGTTTTTCTATTTTCACATGAGTGACCGACCGCCTGTGTGCAAAATGGGTGATGTATGTGAAATATCTACTGTTAGTACTTACTGCCACATATCCATGACTAACGCACACCACTAAATTGGTAAAATGTTCCATGCACCTTGAGAAATTCTGAGAAATTACGAGGTTACGCATCGCAGAACGCGCGAACTGCCGCTCATACTGGACCTCACAAAGATAATAGCGTGCGTTCACACTGGCGCGAATTTACTGTGAGCTAGCTTGCATAAATCCCCGGTTTTCTAGCTCACTAGAAAAAAAACTGAGCTGTTTTACAAGTCGTGAAACGCAATTAGCTCACTAATCCGCGCCTCTTACAAAAGCCCGCCCTCCCAAGACCAACTTCGACTGGGCTAATTTTGGAATCAGCCACTTATTTGCACCACCGGCCGTGATATTAATTGTATCCAGATGAGACGGATACTAGAGAAGCGTTGCGAAAGGAGGTGTTGATCCCAAGCGTATTTAAGCGCAGGATGCTTGCGCGCAATTCGCGGCAAGGTCTGCACGACCGCCTCGGAACGTACTACGACAGTATGCAGCGCTGGCAGCTATGCATCCGTGCGCCCGAATCAATTGGCGGGCGCACGGTATCCATAGCTGCTCAGGCGAACAGGTCCGCAATTTTAGTGGGGGGACACAGAGGGTAGACATTTGGGACGCTGAACACGTGGTTCACTTGCTTATAACAAACGTCGTAACCGAGTAATCTGTCGTTAACCGAAGCTGGTGTACGCGAAATCACAGAAAGAATGTCGAAATTTCTGACATTCGGGGAACCTTGCCCCCGCAGTAATATAGGAACCACGGCTGTCAGACGATCAGGAAACACCTACCGGCGCTCTTTCGCGCGTGCCAAACCGCCGTTGCAACGTTTTTCGCAACCTTTGCCAATGGCCGAGGTCGTGCACGGAGTTGGAGAAGCAGGTGCGCGGCCGCCTGGCCCTGCCGCGGGTGATGTCCCAGCTGCAGCACTGCACTCTCTCGGCACCCCTTCCGGCGCTCTGCTTGTCAGTTCAAACTCAATGGCTCAGTCGTGACGCCGTGGACGGGACGGGCGCCGATCGGGTGGAGGGTCTAGTATCCATACGCCGTTGCACCTCGCGAGAAAAGCGTTCGGGTTGAAACAGAGTAGGCCTATACTAGAAACGATTAACAATTTCGTTAGTAGAGGCGCCGGGCCGTTGGACGTAATTCACCGATTTAAAGTGGCGGCGGCACCGAGTACATTCTCTTAGGCGCTAGGCGTTATTTTTTATTAGAAACGGAGTTCCTGCACTTGTGCCTGATGTCTAGTATAGCCTAGGGTATTCATAAACTTCCACCTACAGACAACACGTGCCTTTTCAGGCAACGCTCGTCAGGATCCCGGCTCAGTGCTGGAGACAAGTGAGATTCAGCGCCGGTGTGGCGGGCCAAAAGAAGGGAGCGAGGCCAAAGTGTAGGCCATCGAGGGGGGCTGGGAGCGGCGGGTGAGCGTGTTTCTTGCTGGAGTCGGTAGTCAGTAGTACTTAGTGCGTTCAAGGATAGAGGAACATCGGCTGCCCAATAATTATATGGGCCCCAATGGTATGAGCGCGAGGTATGATAGCTAAGGTCGCGAGCGCGACACGGGGATGTAAAAAGCGCAGGGTGTGGGGGCGTAACAGTGAAAGCATAGACGAAAAACCGTGGCTCAGTTGGCCTACAGGATCAATAGAAGATCTAGATAATTATAATTCAACCGCGTACATTAAATGTTCACCGGCCAGGGGGAACGCGAGTTTACCGAT